GGAGGATTATGGCTACCGGGGAGGAGCCTCGCGGAGTGATACGTACTGTGTGTGTATAAGGACCACAAATGGCACCTGTTCAGAGACGTGGTGCAGCTGTGAAATCTGTCTCTTTGTTATTATGCTCAGCGTCTATTAGTTTACATTTTGACTGCACAATTGTGAGCTTTTTGTTATGCACAAAAACAACATTTTCTTTTATTTATGGACCATGATTATTTAATAAATGCTGATAATTTATTTTTGAGTAATTTCTTCATGTACATCTACGCTGTATGTAAATAAAAGTGCCCGTGTGACATCTGGGACACAGTGTGACTAAGAACTCTCTTTTTGTTCTTAACTTATGGCTTTAAAAAAAAAAAAAAAATCGAGATATATATCTTATATCGCCATCCAGCTAAAAAATATCGAGATATGAATTTTGGGTCATATCGCCCAGCCCTACCAATTAGATTTTGCTTTCTTAACCCAACACATACAGATCAGACATACACATGTAGTGGAAATAGGGCAGGGCAATATGGCCAAAAATATTTATCATGATATATATTTGAAAATTTGCGATAACGATATAACTGACGATATAATTGACACGAGACAAAATACTCCTCAACTTTATTGGTGCAAAAAAAAAAAAAAACCCCATCAATGTATTTTTACTTAAACAAGCAGCTGTTTTTTATGTGCATTAAAGCTATATAAAAATTTAACAGTGCAAATGCAAATTCCTTGCTGACAGTTTAACCAAAAGGCATTTCCAGCATAAAATGGCCGACATATCCTTAGCATAAAGAGGTTATACACACACTATGCAGTAATATTATGTTGAAGCACAGTATGTATCACTCCGCAAGGCTCCTGACTACGGTACTCGTAATGCTCTGACAATCCATCAAGTGATGCGGCTTCGCAGCTTAGCAAAGTCGCAGCTTAGCAAAGTCGTACTAAAACATTTTTTGACAGATTTTTGAGAGCCGTGTACCACATAAAATTGTTTCGGTAATAACTGTAATAACGATGGCCGCCTTGCATGCTCTACCAAAAAATGTGTATCTGATGGACGGAAGCAAAACCAGTTCTGCACCACTGAAGTTTCACCGCTTTCGCCCTTCTCATTCTGCGTCGCCGCCATGCTTTTTCTGCCATGTGATAACAAAGGCACTGCGCATGCACGTTTTACCCATATTCTATCGCGATATTTCATTTTCTTATCATTGCCTAACATTATACAGGTATTACCATGAACGGTATGATATGGCCCAGCCCAAAGTGGAAATATTTTAAAAAAATAATCTCCTCTCTGATGCTGCCAAACATACTGATTTAGGCTGTTGCTATGGATGGACATTAACAACAGAAAATCTTGTCCAGGATTCTTGACACTATGCCCAGTTATTCACATCAACGATATAAATGACACAGACATCAGCCAAAGCAATAGCCCTAGCATAACACCAAGGCTTCCTTGATTTATGTAAGCCAAGCACCCCCTGTAATGAGCTCAACAACGCTTTGTATTCTTTCTGTTTCTATTAAGTCTGACTCTTTCTCTCTCTTCATCTCTTTCTCTTGACCGCTTGTAGAATGGCCGACTGGCTTTTTTAACTTTGTTTCAAAGAAAGTCAAGAGGGCAATTTCATGCTTCGGTAGTTCTTGTTGTGTCTGAAGAGCTTTTCACAGCGAGAGAAGGCTCACCAAGTGCCAGTATCAGCCCTTCTGCCACCTTTCCTACCCCACTTATCCCCCAGACTGCTCTGTTCTGTGGCAATGCTAATGTCTGCTGACAAGATGCTCTGCAGATAAACACAGCTTTGGTTACACAGCTGGGGAGAGAATGTCATATTTAAACAGAATGCACTGTGTTAAAAGTATTGATATACTCTTAATTATCATTGTTATAGACCAGCATCTATGAAAGCTGGTATAGAAGAGGAATTCTACTTGATATTTTCCGTTTTCACAAATTGACTTAGTCCATTTGTAACTACATAATGGTAGCCATTACTATTCCACTGATAATAGAGCTATTTGTTGGTCATCATATTTTAGAGACATCCTCACATTAATCTTATGACCTTGATGGATCATTCATTCACTCAAATAACAGGATATCCCATCAGATTATTCCCTCTGAATTAGGGCTGCCACGATTTGTCGACTAGTCACGATTACGTCGACTATCAAAATCGTCGACGACAAATTTAATAGTCGACACGTCGTTTGAAGGTTTGTAAGATCGCAAAACACGCAGGAATTAAGTAGCAGGATTTAAGAGTGTAATAACGGACTGAAACAGAAGATGGCAGCACTGCATGTACAAGGATGCCAGCTGCCGTTAAACCCCGAAGAAGAAGAAGAAGAAGAGAAGCAGCTGTGTCCCAGAATTCATAGCGCGGCCCAGCTTAGTTTCCAACAATGGCGGTAGCTAGTTAGTTTTAATATTACTCTTATTATTCTTTCTGGGTCACAAAATAAACTTTTAACATATTTTCAGGCGAGAATGTAGCTGTGTAAACCTCAAATATCGGCTCAGTTTATCAGGACACCACATATTTTCAAAAGCGCTCCGACGTTTTCGGAGACGTCTGTTACCCACTAGCTCGATAGCTAGCCGGGGGCTAGGTCACTAGCGTTGTGAGAACACCGGACTCCCGGCAAATTGTTTTCAAACCCACCGCCGTCTTTCGCTACTCAGGTTAAATATATATGAGTCACTTAGATAAATTAAAAATGTTGTTGTTTGCCTTTTTTTTTTAGTATTTTATTTGTTCCTGAGTAAATCGGTTTGTCTGAGATTAAAGTTATAGTTTTTACACAGCTGAAGCAGACAGCTGATTATCAGAAGTGTGAGATGCTGGAGAATTTACTCCGGTGTCCTGTTATATTTTAGATAGCAAGGAGTTTATTAAACTTCACCGAAACAATCTGCAAATTTCATTAAAATTTAATAAACTATCATCTTGTCTTTATTTTTAGTTAGCACCTTAAAAGCTTAAAGCTGTAAGCTAATGATAGTTATATAAGAGCAGATGCTGCTGGTGCAATAAGCTGTAGTTTTACGTCCAGTGGATGATGATCTGATTAGTCGACTAATCGCATAAATAATCGGTGACTAGTCGACTATCAAAATAATCGTTTGTGGCAGCCCTACTCTGAATCCTGCATGTGACTGGATCAGATTTGCACGGGTCTGTCAAGCTGACACATTATAATCCTTAAACTCCTGTGAGATACATTTAATCTCAGTGACAGATGAAAACTGCACACACTGGAAGTATACAAGTCATAAAGACAAAAAATAATCAGATCTGGAAAGGGTCACTAACAATTTCATTTCCATCACAGTAGGTATTTGATTCGCATATTTTCCGAAAATCTGGAAATTCTCTCGTGACACTGCAGGGAGCAAAACATTTTATTCACAGGCATTAACATGTTAATTTTGAAAACTATATTTAATATATTCAAAGGACATTGGTAAAAATGTGAACTGACTTAAGGGATTAATTAAGCACAGGATGTCAAACTAGAACGAAAGTACACTTTTGTAATTACAACTGATGATACGGTCCATTGCATGCTCCGCAGAATAACATTATTAGCTATAAAAACAGTGTATTAATATAACAACTATTCCGTTTTAGTGTTTGTACTTGAGCTTGCACAGAAAAAAAAGCAGTTGACCTGTACAGGCAAGTGCCCATGCATTATGTTTACTGAACAACTTGCTCACCTATTTATGGACAAAGTAAGCATATCAAAGATGGGCACTGAAGACATAAAAACGGCCACTCAAAAACACCGTTATCAGAGCAAAAATTAGTAACTGCTAGGTCGCAGTAATGGGGAGATGGGAGGTTAATTGGGGTCTTGTCATTGCATGCTTTTTGGTCTTGTCAGTGGTAAGCTACAGTTGAAAAGAACAAAGGCCTGGCAAACTAAATTGTAGGGGAGCAGTTGCCATGGTTACACCATTGGTACGTTACTGGTCTTGTCTCCAGGGTGTAAGTGAGGTTGGCGATTGGAGGGGGTGGGGTGGGGGGGACAGATTTTATGTGTTAATTATAGCATTGTTAATAACAGTATGTGTCTGCAGTGAGGACTTAGAAAGCTTAGAGTGGAGACAGAACGCAAACACACACAAACACATCGCTATCCAGCATACAAACCCAAGAATACTGTAAAGATACAAATACACATATACCAATGTGCCCAGTCATACAAACCGACATTTCACACACGCACTGGAGTAAAAAACCAAAATGAAACACACTCTTCAGACTCTATATAAAGCTGCTGATCGGACTCACCACGACTGACACCACCTACAGTACTTCTACAGAAATGTGTTTCTGATGAACCTTTGTGCCAAATACTTTCTTCAACAAAGAATACAATCTCTGAAATAAATTTAGCTGTTTCACATGCGGATCCCAACCAGATAATACAACACACAGTGTTGCAGACCTCACTTCGTCTTCATGAGTATGCTTACATCCACACAGGGAGAAAAAAGGTTTTCCTATTATCGTGTTTATTACTCTCCACTGGGTGCCAGCTGTGCTCTCAGTTTTAATGATTTAACTGAGCATTTACATCACAAAGCACAGCACAACACATTTACCTATTTGTACCGACGTGCTGTTGTCAAATGCAATTCTGCCCCTTCCCTAGACAAGAATCTTTAGGGTCTCTACTTTATTAACCACATTTGTAAACAAAACAATGCATTTGTATTGATTTAGAGCACAATAACATACAGACATCACTATATGTAGTGAGAACTGGCTGTCTTCAGACAGCCTGTTTTAAAATTGTAAAACTTTAATATGCTGACCTTCCATCATTTGTTCTAAGGAACATTTTGCAGGCTGTTACGCATTTTTCTATCTACTATTAGCTCAATAGACACAGCCATCATTTATCCTGCCTGTAGAAAATGAAACCTTTCATTTAATACAAGCAGATGCCTTTAACAAAAGGTAAAATTACATTACCTGCAGTTATAGCGTGAGCTCCAGTTAGTTCACCGTTGAAGCCGTTCTCCCTGGCAGAATAGGGGGCTGTGGCCACATGGGTCCCACCAGGCTGGCAGGTCCTGTAGGCTGAGGAGGAGTAGCCATTGGCTCCATGGGTGCCACCAGGCTCCTGCCCCGCTGATGGGTCCCACTGAGGGGTACCGTCTTCTGGCTGTCGACTGTCTGCCATGCTGATGCTAGCTAGCAGCCGAAGAGGTTTAGCAAGGGTTGGGGTCTCTCCTTCTGGGATACAGACAGGAAGAGAAGGAAGAGGGAGGAGCAAAGATGAGGAATGGTCAGAACGCAGCATGTCTCTGTTATTAACTGCAATTTTAGCATGGCAGCATTAAGGAAAATGAAGAGTGTAGGGACCAGAGGAGGCTCTAGGACATGTTACATCAGTCACATTTGCAAATCTCTTTTTTGTATGTTATGATCACTGCTGCAGCTCAACTCAACAGTTTTGAAAGTGCAGCTGTGAGTTTGTGTGTAGGTGGTTATGTGAAATACTGTCCTTGGATGCTGTCTGGCATATGACAACCACTGGATGAAACCCTATTGATTTGTGTGTTTGTGTGTAATGACTCATGCAGCCAGCGGCTCAGACAGAAAACACAACTGGCTGAAAATGAACAGAGAAGGCCTTGGATTTTCGGTGAGTCGTGCTGGGCTGCAGGGTTTAGAGGTGGGTTCTGATCAATCTGACAAGATTCAGCCCAACATCTAACAAATAGTTTGAATCAGCTTCACTACAACATACTGGCTTCTATTATGTGAAAATCCAATGGCAAATGTTCCAGAAACAAAAAGTGTGTCATCTTTCCAATACTTTTAATGGAAGCATGATAGCTGATCAGCATGGTGTGAACATTTTAGGACTTATCTAAACGTTAAGTGCTAATACCATGTTACGTAGGGCTATGATTCAGTATTTACATGTCTTTTTCATGTTAAAATAACCAACATTGCTTTGTTATTGAATGCATTTATGTTTAAACTCCTAAATATTATGACCAGTGCCTTTTAAAATTCAATGACTAACATAGAAATATCTCATAGTGAGTGGATAACATTGATCAGATCAGGAAAGAGAAGGATCAAGTAGAAGCGACAGGCTGAAACTATTGATCAGTTCTTATTATCACCTAAAGCCGGGACAGTCAGAGACAAGGAGTGAAAGTCAAGGATTTAACTACCTGGCCAGGAGAGATAAATGGGCTCAAAGTAGTACAAAATCATTACACTGAGCTGTTATTATTACTATTTTTATTTGGTATATACAGTTTTTTTATGCTCAGTTGAGGTTATTTACATCTCACAATAGTGGAACAAGTACACTGAGTTGAATCTGAGCTTGAAGGACAAAGAGAGAGGTAAACAAAGGGCTCAGTGAGAAGAAAGAAAATTGTGAAATACTCTGAAAGGGAATTGGTGATCTTTGCAGAAGGGCTGTGGATGGTAGCATTTACAGGGCAGCCTGTGCAGTTGTGCATAAGGGTGTGTGTGAAGAAGCAATTTGTCATTTAGCTCTGCGGTCCTCAGAGAGCCAGAGAGTGAAGTGAAGTCAGCTCGAGAAAACGGGAGTCAATAACTACAGCCGAAGACCAAGGTACTGCTACAGTGAGCACTAGGTACTACATTCACAGTACATTAAATACTACTACTCACTGTCAACCAAACAGGAGAACAGAATAGAGTGGAACAGAATATAATAAATGGAAAACAGAAGAGTGATTCCCATACAAAGGATGTATGAAGAGACTTAAAATACAACATGTCCATATTTTTTGTTAAGATGGATAATAAACACTAAGGCTGGGCTATATCATACCGTTCACGGTAATACCGGTGTAATTTTGGGCAACGATAGGAAAATGAAATATTGCGATAGAATATGGGTAAAACGCGCATGCGCAGTACCTATGTTTACATACACACATGGTGGCGACGCAGAATGAGAAGAGCGAAAGCGGATCGTTAAATGAAACACATGAACCAGAATTGGTTTGTAAAAATGCTGCAACGTCAGTGGTGTGGAACTGGTTTAGCTTTCATCCATCAGATACACAACAAAGCACTATTTTTGGTAGAGCATGCTAGCGGGCCGTCGTTATTACCGTGTTATTTGGAAAATACGGCACACTTAAAATCAATCCTTTGATTTTTCTGAAAATCGACAGTGCCCCTTATAATCCAATGGGCCTTATGTATGAATTCTGGTTGTGTTTACTGACCTCGAAATGATTTTATGTACACGGCGCTCGAAAATCTGTCAAATGTTTTAGTACGACTTTGCTAAACAACGAAGCCGCACCGCTTGATGGATTGTCGGAGCATTACGGCTATCGTAAGCAGGAGCCTCGCGGAGTGATACGTACTGTGCTTCAACATAATATTACCATATTGTGTGTGTTTAACCTCTTTTTAAGTTTTGTGGATATTATACATGGTTATGCTGAGGATATGTCGGCCAATTTCCACTGGAAATGCCTTTTGGTTAAACTGTCAGCAAGGAATTTGCATTTGCACTGTTAAATTTTTATATAGCTTTAATGCACATAAAAAACAGCTGCTTGTTTAAGTGAAAATACATTGATGGGGTTTTTTGCACTAATGAAGTTGAGGAGTTGTAAAGTATTTTGTCTCGTGTCAATTATATCGTCAGTTATATCGTTATCGCACTTTTTCAAACGTATATCGTGATAAATATTTTTGGTCATATCGCCCTGCTCTAATAAACACAAATGTCATTGCAAATAATGTAAATATTTGCATAACATAAATAATCAATGCTTAACAAATTTATTAGCCAATTTAAAAGGTTTATTCCTCAGCTGCTACATTATTGCTAACATACTCAAAAGAACTTTTCTGTATCTGTAATGATTAATCCACCAGTATTAATAAGGTCTTTAACTGAATTTATTGTTCTAATCCGTGGTTTTACAAAACGTACGAAACATAAATGCACATAATTATTTTTTAAAGAATAAATAACAATATAGATTTAACGTTTAGGATTTTGACAGGTTTCGGAAATATTTGTAGTTTCTTCTTTTTATGACTGGTGATCTAATACATTTGTAAAGCACTGCATACTGTTACAAATAATGTATGTGTCATTTAGGCTTAATAACTGCTTATTAATAAAAACTATGCTTATGTCCAAAGCTGCCTTTGTCACAGTCTTGGGTCTTGGACACAGGGTTTTGAGTTGTTGGCCTGTTGAGTTCTGTTCCTATTACTTTTGTGTCTAGTAATGCTATATTAATTTATCCACTTCCATGCTACTGACTGTCCCATTTTGGGGGTATACTGTGGTCCAGGTTTACTCTTAGGTACTAGGTACTCTTTAGTATTTATGGAGGCTGTTATCTGAGTCTAGCCCCTTGCACATTATACTTTCCCTTGGGTTCCCCTCGTCAAGTTTCTCTGTTTATTAATCCTTGTTTTACTCTGTCAATTTCTGTCTTGTGCCTCAGTTTGAGTTATTTCCCTGCTTGTGTTTACCTGTGCCTGCATCCACTTCCCCTAATTATCTTGTGTGCATTTATACTCCTGCCCTTCTTTTGGTCTTTGTCAGATTGTCTGTTTGTCACTGTGTGCGCTCAGCCTGCAGTTTATTTTATGGACTAATACAGGGGTACGGTGGTAACAGCAACTGGCTTTAGCTTCTTGGGATCATGCACATCTCTGCGATGCAATAGCTAGTAAGGTATTTAAGTTTGTACCAAAGAGGTGTGTTGCCACCAGCATAGCTACACTATTTTATGATTGGAAATCTTAACATTTGGTTACAAATTTATAACATTCAGTGGTGTTGATCAAGGGATAGTTGAGATGAACTGTTAGCACTGTGTGAATATCCTCTTGAAAACTGAGGAACTAAGAATCTTCCCATTGAACTTTTTTTTGTGATTTCCTACTTTTTTTTGAGCTAAAAGAGCACACCCAAACACATGAGATATCAATGGAAAGCCCAGGATGTCCTCTATTTGCAAATCAGGACTTAGTGGGGTAGCTTAAACAGGTCAAAAGATATAGACCAAAAACAAATGTCCATTACAGAGGACACACATGAGCAGGCTGGTTCTCAGGAGGACCACAAATAATGTTGAGAAGGAATACTATAGACAGAGCACAGAGGTGGTTATAATAAAGAGAACCAAAGAAGAGAATATAGGATTGCTGTAAAGCCTTTGCAGCCTAAATGGATCAGTCAGGAGTCAATGGAGCTTTGCATGAGTCACCTCTGAAGGAAACACCAGTGTGAATGAAACCACGACACAGACTCCACGACAAAGAACACCTCACCACCAACTGCTTTACATAAATGCTCTCTCTGTCTCGGTCCAAAAGCCACAGTATATTTAGGACAGCACCTTTACTGTCACTCTCTCTTCTGTTGCTTGTTCACTCACTGTGTCCCCGTACAAGACTCCATTACAATATTAAAAGAGTCATAAAATTCAGAAATGAGACTGCTGTCCTCATGCCATGTCTACATACTGTCTGTTTGATGATGAAGGTCACATTCAGCTCAGTGGCAATTTTCCAGATACAACTGACTGGTGGCCAGGCGCATGGTGTCAGTGGTGGTTCACAAGAGAACAAGGGACATTTGCCCTGCCTTCTTTGGAGGTCTGTTGAGCTGTTGATGATGATGGTAGCAATAAGTGTGCTCTGCATACTTTTGCACAATGCATGCTGTATAAATAAAACAGCACCACCTTCTGGGTTAAACTCCAAATAAAACAAATGGGGAAATTATAAAATATTACCACACCTAATGTGAAACTCCATCTTTCTTCTTAATTTCAGTGTCTCACTAATTCTAGTTAACACCATTTGTATTCACTCAATATTATAAAACAAAACAAAATACTGGTTGGAGGTTTAGCAGGTATTAAGAAGATAAGATCAAACGGAATGCATAAAAAAATTACATTACAAAAAATACTAATTAATGCTATGCTCAGTTAAAATACCAACTCTGGTATGATTGTGATATGATAGAGTTAGACGCTGGGTGTCTTAGTAGACAGTAGGTCTGTTGCACTTGGCAAAAAGCCTGTGGCACTTTGCCAGTGGGCTGGTTGTTCCTGATAGGCACTCTCTCTGCCCTGGAGAAGAATGGAGTTGAATAGTGAACAGACAAGCAGAGCAGGGCAATACTGCAAGTGGATAGTTAGGATGGTAGCTTGCAGCACTTTCATGTTACTATATAGTATTTTGTAGCCTGT